TCGTTGCGAGCATACTGCTCGTATGGCATGTTCGACTGATCCAGCCACTTATCTCTGCAAGGCTCCATGTAACGGGATCATGACTTGCTGCGGAAGATCATGCAACGCAAAGTGCCACGAATGTCAGCAGAAGAATGCACCTACCGAAGGAGAACATACACGGAGGACACAGCATACTGCTCACCCTTGCGAGAAACCACTTTTCTGTGAACATCTGTGTCAGGATGCTTGTTCTGACGACCACAAGCACACCGTCGCCTGTAAGAAACCATGTAGACAAGCCTGCTTCCATGCCCGTTGTAAATTGCCGTGTTCGATGCCTTGTGCGCCGTGTCAAGAGTCATGCACATGGTAATTGACACCTTTCTAACTTGGTTTCCATATTTTCGCTGATTGATATCCTTAGGAGCTGCCCACACCATTCCTGTCCTGTACCATGCGGTTCTGTCAGTGTGCTAGCTTCAGCCGTTTCGTGCTTTCCTGATACTCCATTTTAGGTCTGCGCAAGATTGCCCTGTGACGTACCTTGCGACAAAATCTTGCATTGTGGACACAAGTGTCCTTCTGGTGAGTGACAAATCGCTGCCTCGAAACCTCGTGCTCACATCGCCCTTACATCGTGGAAAGTTTGCGGGGAAGACTGCGACATTCAAATTTGCCCGCAGTGTGCTTCTGATGACAAGAAACGCCATGTCGTCGATTTCATCTTGCAGCGCACACTATCCGAAGTTACACCGGAGTTGAACACTCTCGACGAGATGTTGATTACCATTCCCTCATGCAAGCACACGTTCACCGTAGAAACTCTAGATGGTCACTGCAGTATGAATGATTTCTACGTCCAGAACGAGTTCGGACAGTGGCTTCGCATGCTTTCCCCCATCGGATTCAGAAAACCTCCTACATGTCCAACATGTCGTTCACCCATTACAGCTCCCAGATATGGTCGCATCTTCAAGCGAGCTGATCTAGATATCTTGGAGCACAATGTTGCCGCCCGTATGTCTCGAGCGCTTCACCAGGTCCAAACTGCCATTCTCCGTATTTCTGAAGACGAGATGAAGGCTGCGGTCATCCGTGATGCAGCTACCATCAAAATTCGCCCCTCAAAGCTCAAGGGGTCCAATTCGCAGGCAAAGGCTCGTTCTGAGGAGTTGATGTCAAAGAAGGAGGCCCCCACCTCAGAACGCGCCCTCAACTCTGCCAACCCGTCTTTGCATGCTATTGATTCAGCGGTTGGCCGAGTTTGGGGTAGGATTACCCACACGCTATTCAGTGCCTACAAGGAGGCAATTATAGTTGCCGAGACACGCTCTGCCCACCTACATGCTTGGGAGTCTGCATTTTCATCCCTGTACCACCGTGAATTAGCCGCTCTTGTCGACAATCCAGCTCGTACGCCTGTTCGGCCGCAGGAAAATGCGATGAGGCTTGCGAGACTGCAGGTTGGCCAGCCGCGTCCGCGAGCTGATAGACGGTTCATCGTAGAAGCCTTCTGGTGTACGTTGCATATTCGCCTGACTCTGATTGCTCTGGGTCGCACGTGGCTAGAGGAGGTGGGCAAGCGCGAAGCCGACTATCCGCTGTACCATTTCCAGCTATGGGCGAGCTACGTCAAGTTTATGCTGCAGAGTTGTTCTCTCGATGTGACCAAGGCTCTTGAGCTCGCAAGGAGCTCTGAATCACACCGACAGGTCACCAAGACTTCTCTTCTCCACATGCGTGTCGAGCTGGAGAACTTCCGGTTTGGCCTATACATGTCCAACAAACTTGGGACCATCAACGATCAACGATCAGAGATGGTAGAGGCTGCGGGACAGCACGGCCATGAGGCGCAGGAATTTATGAAGGATGTAATCACAGATCATTTCGCAAACAAGGTCACGCCATCGCGAGAGGAAGAGGCTTCCTGGCTTGCGGAGAACTTTTCTGGTGCTGCACAGACGATTGTGGATGAATGGAAGGCCATTAAGAGGGCCGTCGGTAGATTCACGTTTTATCAGGAAGTCTCGTTAAACGAGCAGATGGAAATAGTGCAAGCCTTCAACTTTGGTAAGGTTGTTATTCTTGAAACTGCAGATCCTTTTTCACGGTGTTACAGGCAGCACTGGACACTTCTACAACTGTGAAAATGGTCATACGTTTGTGATTACTGAGGTGACGCCATTTGAGTATTTGGTTTATTACAATGCTAATTCATGTCTCGCAGTGCGGAGGAGCCATGGAACGTAGTTCCTGTCCGGAGTGCGGCTCTCCCATAGGAGGACAGAGCCACAGTCTCGATCGTACAAACACCAGAGCAGCTCAGTATGACGAGCTGGCTCGGCAAGCGAAACCCCGTATACCAGAATCCCCTTGGGCCAATCCTCATTAGAGAGCGCTTATGACTTTGACCGTCGCAGAATGCATATGTACAAACAGGTATCCTAAATGTAGTCAACTGGCTAAACAGCTTTCTATATAAATGCTTCGGCGTTGTAACACTTACTCTGAGAAATCCACGATCTATCTTCTGCATTCGTATTTCGACGCATGAAAAGTTCGCAAGTGGTGATATATGGTTTGGAAGTATCCTATGGTACTATCACTTGATCCGCAACTAATGCACAATCAATGGGTACCGGTAATGCACAATGCAACTCAAAGCTCACAACTCTACATATATTTCATTCGGAACAACTGTAGAACAAGTATTAGCATATGTTCAATAAGCCTGCCAAATTAAATATTCAAAATCGACGCTGTGGTGCACCAAAGTAGGTCCGATACAAATATGTGTTGTTGTGATATTATTCAGCAATAAGTGAAAATTGTGCATTTCCCGTCGAATGATAGTACAAGTTTGAATCATGTCCATTCGTTCGGGCATGCCGAGGAGCTCATCGGTAGAGTGAATGACGGTGTTGAAACAGGAGAATCACCAAATCAGCCGGAAATGTTTCAAGATTGTCATCCCTCATGAGGGCAGTCTCATTCTGTACTCCAGAAAATCTCGACGAGGAAAATTTCGAATCTCGGGAGAATATCTATTGTCGGACATGTGGTGCATAATAAAAAGTAGTCTATAGAAGTGGAACAGCTACAGGAGTGGAACGTTGCACGAAAGGAAATGACGGGTTACTCAGCTTCAACAACGTCATATCATAATGTCAGAACTGTCAAGTGGTATGATGGAAGTCTTGTATCAAGTGGAATCCCGTTGAATGAAGGATAGAAAATCATCCTTAAAATTTTCCCAGGAGCTGGCAATCTCAGTGTCGAACCTTCATAGACGAATCAAAGTCAAACTTCATAAAGCATAAGCGACAATAGTGTCAACGCACCACGGCCAGCTCTTTTTGTCCAGCAAATTATTGTCCAGTAGTATGCGACTCAAAAAGCCCTGTTCGATTGCAAACAACCAAATCTTGAAGTTCAGCTTGTAGTTGGTAGTCGTGTAGTTGTACCGGAAAACCGACGATTTGATTGTCTTGTAGACGGTGCCCATTCCGTGTTGTACTCGTTCCAAAGCCCAGCCGTTGTAGATAACGGGATCGCACTGGAAAATGGAAGAAGAAGGGTTTATTTGTGGACGCAAAGCGACCCCACGCGTATCCAGAGGCAGTTTCCAGGTATAACGGTCTCCGACGGTGCGGTCTGTGAAAGGATAGAAGGCAGAATTTTGTGGGGAAGTGCCGGCCGGTAGTGTGGAAATCCATGCGAAGCCGCGTTCGCCGTACTTGATCACCACGGTAAGGTCATGCAGCGGTCTCGCCCTCCAAACTGAAAGAGTATCCCTCTTTTCAAAAGTCGCCACTGGATACAGAGAATAAGCGGCATCGAAAGCTATGAAGTTCATAACGCAGGCTGTATGCACATGTGCAAGTCCGTCGTAATCAGAAATCAACAGACTAATATTTATAATATTTCGGGACTCACTAGAATGAAAATTTATGATGGCATCGAATGGGCTCGTCTCGCATGCTATAATTTGGATCTTCAAAAGGCCATCTGGACCACGTTTCTCGATTGTCAGTACAGATTCGACTCCTCTGATTTGGTAGTATAGTAAGAGCTCGTCATCTTCAGGTGTCTCGTCGCGGATTTGAGTACCATCCCATTCATCAGACACGATTTCACGGTAATCCTGAGGTTGAGTCGAGTCTGGCTTGAACCTATATCCTTCTCTTTCAACAAGATAGTCCAACACTTCTCTCACGTGCCCTGGATGCACGTAAAGGTCCATGTCAGATTTGGGATAAAACGTCCGATCCAGAAATTGAAGTGCGTTGGAGCCCGCAATAAGCGTCCCGGTACGCGCCTGTAAGCTGCGAAAATTGAGAGGTTCGGAAAGATACCGAGAAAGATGCCGATGGATGTTGTAGGCACGATGAGAGAAGTCTTTGGATGCAGCATACGCGGCACGACAACAGCGACCAATGCGCACAAGCGTGTGGGGCGAGATGCAAGAGAAGATGGCGTCATAGATTGGAGCGCGACCGAATAATTCGCCTACTGCGCATTCGTGAGCAAGCCGAGGTTGTCGTCGATTGGTGTGTTTGACTGGGACTTGCGACATATCGCTGTAGAGTCAACAGTCAGTATCTGAATCACTCGCAACTGGATGAGGATAATGCACCTTCGAGTAATATTTGGCAAGTGGGTTGTGGTGGGTAGGGTAGATGAAGGTAGACAAAGCTGTGAAACTTTTGGTAGAACGTACTTTGTAGTCAACAGCCTTGCGCCACGGCGGCTCTGATACGTATGATATCCGCATCATGTTTATTTACGAATTCGCGAAGTGGCTATGGAGCCTTGAGGCTTGAGATGAGCTATATATCGAGTGCTGAACTCCGCGCCACGGTGGTTGTTTACAAGTAGTTACGTATCCCCGACTCCCACGTATGATATACTGTGAATTCGGCGTTCCGAGTTGCCGCAAGCGCTACTGCTCACAGTAAGCACAAGCAAAGCGTCAAAGCCGCATTTATCTCCCATATTTCCACGTCGATTGAGGATCTATGTCTCTGCAGGGTTTGATTTCTGGATCTGAGTGTGCTGTACCGCTGAACCCGCTGTCGCAAGTTCTGAAACACACAGAAGGAGACAGAAGTTTGCAGCAGGTCTGTTAAAAGTGCCAAAATCCATAATTGCATCTGACAACAACTGCGAACAGGATCGTGTAGCTGGTCCTTCATCCTCCCGAGTCAGCTTTCATTACATTTTACCGTGAGATGTATTCATGTCATCGATCAGCTCCAACACCTTCCGGGATCTGCTCCAGCCCAAGCCGCAGAACAAGATGTCGCAATGGCACGTCAGTTCTTCGAAGGACAGCAAAGATCAGGCGGCCCTGCACTTGTTGCACCTCCGTATCTTCATCCGGCAGAACTTGCTCGCATGGCGGAAATGAATAGACTTCCGGAACTCAACGAAGCATGGAGCAGGGAAAGATATCAGCCTCTGATACAGAACAATGTTACCCAAAGCTCATGGGCAAATGAATTTAGCGGTGCTCAGCAACAGCCCATCAACGGTTCTGCCATGCAGATGCCTGAAAGTGAGTTGTCCTGCGTAAACTTCTGGATTTTGAGTCAACATTAGGCATACAGCTCAGAGGCAGCAATTCATTGGTTCACATGGAATGTATGGAACATCCATGGGTTTGTATGGGAATATGGGACAGCCGTTCTTCCAGGGGTTCAATGCTACTCCCCTGAGTGCAGACGCGAGTAAAGGGAAGGGTAAAGCCCGCGAAGCTGATTATGAAGCTGCATTTGCCCAGTACGCTGCCTCGTTGCAAAATCAATCAGAATCCACCTCTAGGATTGTCGAATTGGACGATAATGCAGCTGCTTTAGAGCAGGCCATGGAGAACGTCAAACTTGGAGATACTGAACTGAAGACTAACGGGGATTTCAAGGAGTTCGTCATCTTATTATCATTATTACGTGCCTACTTAGTTTTCTGTAGCGTTTGGGATCACCTGCAAAACTCGGATATACCACCTCCCGCACAAGATATCGGCAAATGGGAAGCACAATTCAACCAGCTCATGAGTCGTGATCGCGAGGAGCTGGATCAAGATTACTCTACAGCCATGCAAGAAGCTTGGAATGACGGATTGGGAAATCTTAATGAGAGTGCCCTCCAATCCAGGTATAACGATGATGGGATGCCCATTCTGGACGAATATGTGTTCGGTGAGTCCGATCCGATACATCACGCCCTCGTTTGTCAAACTGTACAGAGTCAAACAACAAATATCTTGATCCATCTTCGTCCCCTCGGTCGCCACTGAGCGAAGCCAAAGCTTTTTTGGAGCAGGGTGGTTCGTTATCTGAAGCTGCTCTTCTACTCGAAGCTGCTATCCAGAAAGGAGAGCTTGGCGAGGGCGGATATGAAGCCTGGATACTTCTAGGCGAAACCAGGAACATGGATGAACGCGAAGACCTCGGTTTGCGTGCATTGATCGAAGGTGTTCGCTTATCAGAAGCTGCCAATGCCAACGGAGTAGGCATGCTGGTGTGTATCATCTAGAAACTTCTTCCAGCCCACTCTCGTGACGCATTGTTTACAGTCCTTGGCGATCTCATACACCAATGAGCAACATGACCGGGCTGCTTATAATATGTTATTGCGATGGCTAGGAGCACGTTTTCCCGATTTCCCGATATCAGATGAGATCCGAAGAGCTGTCTCTTTACATTCAGCATGGGACTCGCATGATAAGCTTACAGAAATCTTCCTTACCCTGGCACGACAGCAGTATAACCAAGGGATTGTCGATCCTGATACTCAGATTGCCCTTGGTGTGCTATTTTATGCAGCCATTGACTACGAACGTGCGAAGGATTGCTTCGAGAGTGCCCTATCACAGCGTCCTGGGGTACGAGAGTTCGGGCCGCTGACATTCCATTGTGACTGATAAATGGCGATCAGGATTACGTACTCTGGAACCGATTGGGATCCTGTCTTTCCAACGGGAACAAACCTGAGGAAGCCCTTGGAGCGTACAGGGAAGCTTTAAATTTGCGCCCTACTTACACTCGTGTTATTTATAACGTTGGGGTGGCATGTGTGTCTTCTGGTTAATCCCCTGCACATGTTTTGAGCTAATCTCACACGTAGGTCTTAACATAGGAGCGCACAAAGAGGCGGCCGAACACTTTCTAAGTGCACTTAGTATGCAGGAAACCACAGGCGGTGGTCAAACTAGTGATCAGTTGTGGTTGACCCTGAGGCGTGCCTTTATCTCGATGGTGGTTATATCCAGTTCTATCTTCTAGATGACATGCTGAACCTTACCGTTCCAGGAGCGCAATGATCTTGCGGAGGTGGCTAAGCCTGAGAACCGGTCAAACTTGGATTTCTTCCGGCAGCAAGGGTTTGATTTTTAGTGATTTGTCCCCAGATAATTTGATGCATAGACGCCACACGTAGACCGAAATCGGAGTTTTATTTGCTCCTTGTATTCAATCAGTGACACATAACACCATGCTGCTGTGTTCGTTGGCTCAAGTGCTCAAATGTTCAGGTAGTGTCTCTCTGGCACATCAACATGGAGGTCCGCTCTCGTACGATAAGTGTTGGTCCACACTTGCTTCGCATGTTAAGTTCGCTCCATGCTCGCCCACAAACACGTTGGTACCCCATATAGAGGCTCTGTCGCCGTTGTCCTTCTGTCGAACTCTGATACGGCTGTCTCCGGCCGGATCTATGCTATGAGATTTGGAGTATTGAAGAAGTCGATCTGATGTTGATCTTGTCGAGCTGTACTACTAGTGCCATGTGACGTTGGGAACCCTGGATGGCATACATGTGCCAATCTCGGGGTGGGAAAGATAGCCGAACTTCTTTTAGTTACCTCCCCTGCTGCGCCTTGTGGGATCCTGGGGCACATCTATCCATTTTGGTCACTCCGACTCAAGGCGCTAATATTGGTTTAGTGATATAAAATGGCCCCTCTTCAGCTAGCTTTTTCTCCAGCAATCTGCTTTCATCAACTACCTCACATACAAGGTGAGCAGTCTGATCTGAGCTCCCTGACCACGACACGACTGACACCCTCCTGCAGCTTAACCGCAATCACCATCATAACCACCATGTACAACACCAACACCGAGCAATGCACCTGCGGCGTCGCCAAGTGAGTTTTGCCTTGCGCCATTTCAATGACCGGATTCTGACTGTCTCAACAGCTGCACCTGCCAGGCTGGTAGCTGCAGCTGCAAGAACTAAACCACGCGCATGTGCACTTGCCTTGCCGTGTATATAAACATAAACATATTTGCCATCCAACGTGACTCTTGTACTGTTTGTTGTATTGAAATGCCAAAGTTGCTTTAGTGTCTCTTGATAGAGTCGACAGTAAAGACTGCAACATCGTCCGGAATTCCGAATAGCCCTCGAGCTCGAACTCGTCACCTGCACGCTCATGCACAATTCAACACCCCATCGTCAAGCGCAACAGGCGGGACTGACTCTACTAGGTAGCTTTCTCCATATTCCGAAGCCTGCTTACGACGCCCCGTTTTTCTTCGCGATCGCGTTCTTCGTTGTCCTATGGCCTCCGTTGAATTCATCATTGAAGGAAGCAGAAAGTGCAGGATTTAGTTGGTCGGTCTGCGTGAGGTCTATGACTCTATGCAAACTGGATGCAAACTTGTGTGATGTCAGTGGGTTACTCAGATCCAGAACGTGCAGGGAAGTCTGGCCGAGTCAAGGCCGCTGCATGATGTCACAGCGATCACCCCACCCAAGCTCCATCCCGTCTGCCTGCCATCAGGATCTTTACCTCCATCTCTTCTTATCCCTGCGAGTCTATTACGCTTGCCTGTCTGCTACTGCGTTCGCCTATTTCCTACCCGCTGCCGATATCATGTTGTTATCTGCAGCTCACAGTCTGCGGCTGCTATGTCCTCCCTCCAAGTAACTAGATGACGGCAATCTGACAAGGGTGAGATTTGCATGACGGTTGACATGGATAGCGGGGTGCGTAACGGTGATTGATGTAGACGGCGGCAGGGCAGTGGTTGCAAATTGCAATGATGCAGACAGAACTTTGACCACCTGGAACTTTCCGATCACAGACCAGACGTTGCCCAGACGGCCCATTCTGGAAGTATCCCCAGACTTCATACAGGCTAGCCTCAATATCTAAATCTGAACCAGTCAGCCGGTATTAATAGTGTTGCCGCGAAGCGAACTGAAGCGAATTGAAGTGGAAATTTGACACACTTCGGTAGACTTCGTTGTCAACGAAGTTATTCGAAGTGCACTTCGAAGTACTTCGCGAAGTCAAGCAGAATAGATTACTAATCATATGTAGCTACCTACAGCATAATCTAAGACAGAGATTGGTTTTCGTTTTCGTTCACGAGCAGCTGCGCAAGTTCATCGAGCTTGCCTGCTGCCATGAGCTCATCTATGGCATTCCTAGATACTGGCCCTGAAATATTATAATCTACTTCTTCTGCAACGAGGTGGGATGTGAAATTCAACCGGTCTTGCTTGTAAGAGAACTTGAGTATTTGTAGAGCTTCGAGAACTGCTGGTGAGAGGTTGGCACGCCGATCTGTGCATGTCTCTTTGCTAGATGAGAAGACTCGTTCGGAAGGGACAGATGAAGCCTGCGCGGGAAGACCATCCATTGCGACACGGAAAAGCAGCGGGAATATATGTTCTTTTTGCTACAAAATATATTATATTCATTCAATGGATAGTTGAAAAAATAAAATCGTGCACGCACCTCCCAAAAACGAACAATGTCAGCTGTGCGTTCAGCCGTGGCATCAAGAAGCGCTGCTTCTTCATAGCGCTGCATTTCTCGCTCAGCATCTTTCCTGTCTTCCTCTAAATCTCGTTGTGCTTGCTCTTCCAGCGTAAGTGTCGGAGTTGACTGGCCAAATGTCAAGGAACGATTTGGTGCGGCAGTTAAGGTTGTGGTTGACAATGAAGTTGTTGAACGTCGAACACTCGTGTTGATTTTCGTCAAGCGCCCAAATCCTGCCATCAATGATCGCGCAGCCACAGACGTAGAACTGTCAGCGGAGTAAGGGAGCTGTAATGCTGATATGCACGGTGTAGGTACTCTTTCCCGTTCCAAGCGCATTGCTGTACGGTATGATGTCATCTGTAAATCAGACATCAGTGCTACCATTGCAAAAGACAATGAAAATTGAACATACCGCTTCTAATGTCCATTCCCGTGCCTTTCTCACATCATTCTCGTCCCAGTGAACCTTCATCCATTCAAGTTTCAAGCTCGGATTGATAGCTATCTAAAGTTCAGTAAAATTCCAGACACGAAAAGAATCTTGAGCGGACTCATTGCTAGTGCATAGATTCGTGTTTTCCTGGCTTGATGAATGTAATTAGTTAGCTTGTCAAGGCCGATTCCGATATAATGGGCAAGTTCCCAAATGGTTCCCTTCAGCTCGGTCCATTTTGTCTGCAGGAGTTCATATGCAGGAAGGGCCATTGACAGGGTCGGAGTACGCTCACTTGCAAGTAGCTCTTGAGCTGCGTGAGGGACTTCAATAATCTGGTGAATGTCCAACAGGAGCAGTCGAGTCTTGCAGGACACCTGCATCTTGCTGCATTAGGATTGGTGGTGTCGAAGCAGGTTGTGCAGGGCCCCACATCTGCTGCAACAGCTCAACGTGTTGCATGGGCATCATATACTGGGCATAGTGATTACCAGGAGGTACATGCAGGGGCGGAGAGAGGTTTCGCAAAGTCTCGAAAGAACCATGTGGTGTTGTTAATGGCGAAACTGATGGACCATGACTGTTTGTAGGCTGTGCGGCTGAGTGCGAAGGAAACTGTGACCGACTACTAGGAAGAAAACCTGCTGTTGAATGGTACATGGGAGTAGAGAATTTTTTGTTTCGAGACACGGACAGTGAGAGCCTACTTTTAGTCTTTAGGGCATAAATTTTGATTCCGTTGTGGAGCCGACTTGGCGAATGTTCGAGATCATGCACGAAAAGCTTATATTGAATGTACATAGTATGTACAGTGATGTCTTATGATTGAAATATGATAGAGACAGGGGGCACATAGAGGTCTTCAGACGTGCAGTGATGATGATTAATCTATGTGATAACTTCGATTCACCTCTCGAAGTGGACGGAGTGGCACTTCAAGCTTCAACTGACTTCGGAACAACGAAGTCAACCAAATTCTCACGTTTTCGAAGTGAAGTGAAGTTACCTCGAAGTCACTTCGCTTCGGCGGCAACACTAAAGCCGTCTCATGAGATCTCCCTCATCAATTTCGCTCATGTCATTCATTCCGTACCACTGCGCAGCCCTCTGTGGTATAAGCTACTGTTTCTCTAATCAATAGATTGTCGCTCACCTGTCGACGAGAACTTTGTCCTGACAGCTTCCGCATTCTCCTGAATTTCTCCACCCTTCTTTGTATTGGCACCAGCTTAGTATACTTTATTGCCTCCCACCCATTGAGAAATTCCCTGACAAGTCCCTTGGCATTGATATATTGGTCACTTGGTCTTTGCATGTGCCATGTCTTCTAGCCCGACGCCGGGCCGCTGGCCAGACACCAAAACACACCACGCTGGGATTACTTTTGCAGGTAACCTGTTTTCTGGAGTGCTCAGTGTTCAGGCACTAAATAATTAGACTGCCTTGTTGCGAACATGTGGAGTCAAGTGGTGCAGAAGCACACAGTAGTTATAACCCGATGTCTGAAACTCACTTATACGGAAGCAAGTCACCAAGGTGCGGTATTGCGGATGACAGAGCGCATCATAGTATATGGGGTAATCAGATACGCCATGGGTAATCAGTGGTGGACACACGAGTGGTACAGCATACTGAAAGCAGTGTAAGATAACGGATGTATGAAATTTGGTGGTGGCGCATGCCCAGGCTGGGAGGATCAGCCGAACTAGAAGTTGCAGGACGTTCTGGTGGCAATTTCTGCATTTGGCTTGAAGTTGAAGCTGTTGACGCTGTAGCGGCACTCATTCGTTTGCCCCCAGGCAGTCTCGCGAACCTTGGCTGGCTGCAGTCAGGATTTCCTGCAATCGGATGTGTTCTGTGATTCGTGTATTCAGTTCAATCATTGTCCCATCTCGAGGTAGCAAAAGAGCGCCGGCGATAGTGAGAAGGTGGTCCTTGCGCTTGTATGATAATAGCAAGCCATCGAATGTCTTCGTTTTGATGTCTTCCTCAATGCGCAAGAGCCGAATTCATGAGTTAGTCGATCCTTACAGTTTTCTCTTCAGAGAGCTGGAGGAGCTGCTGTGACTTGACAAGATTCCTGCAAGACACATGCAGACCCTTGTTCCAGTCTTTGAGAGTCTGCCGCGCGTCCTGTACTATCACATTAGCGGCATTGCAGGAGCTCGAAGAAGATATGATCATACCTTGTGTGAGCTTGCAGCTACTGAAATCATTTGCTTGCAGGTGACATTCGAGTGCAGCCTAGATCCTGGACTCGTAGTAGACGGTGGCCCTATGTCACATGAGCCCAGCTCACCGCTCAATGTTACTTTGGAATCGATTCTGTAGACAAAATTACGAGATAGTGGACCATGGTCACGAATAGAAAAAGTAACAGGGTACAGTATTAGCCTCCATCAGAGATCTGGCCGGCGGAACGAACGAGGCGAGAACATTAATGTTGATGTAAGGTCTACATCAAATGCATTATGCATTAATATTTGAATATTTAATATCGGTTTAGACTTAGCTCGCGTCGGAATTAACTAAGTATCATCTGTTCTTTGCCACTGTGTCTCTGGCTGCAAGCTCCCTCAGTACCAGTAGACACTGTGATGGGTCTGTCATCATGAGGTCACTGTCACTCGAAGTTTTCTGCAGATGCGGTCGACTCTCCTATTCGGTTCCTGTTCCTTCGATATCTGCCAGTGGTGAAGTTTCTTAATAATAATGCACTAAATACGTTACGAGGGGCTTGCAATGGATGGCATGGTCAAGTTGCAATCGCTTTCGTAAATTTCCTGAAGCTTGAACAACGGTCACGAGCTTGACGTGCTTCAAGTTCTTCGTGATCTACCATGCTACCCCGGGAGTCAGAGCCAATACGTATTCCTACTCTTTGCGCTCCTCTACGATATCATCATAACCAGCTTCAGGCAGAATCGACTGCAGAGCCCCTAGCACATGATAGAATAAAATGGTCACCAGTGGCGTTTCTAGTCCTGGGAATCCGTCTAGGTATTTTCTCGAATCGGTTGCAAAGAGATGGTGCGTGAATCTGATGATGGCAGCACCAAGTTGCCAGGATGTAGTTGCTGAGGTGCATCTACAGAAGCAGTGGGGTGGACTGGCCAATGAACATGGGGGATAGGGGAATTGGGGCGATTTTCATGATTGTCTGGTTCTAAATTGATGATGGGCATCGGAGCATCCGCCTCGGCAGAGAGGCCAACAGAAGTACCAAGCTCAATCGGGCCAGTATGGGCTTGAGGGTTGCCAGTGAAGACTATTTGACCGAGCGTCATGACTTGCTTCCAAGCGCCAGCAAGACGACACAACAGTTCCTGGGTGATGTTTCCAAACAACCGCCAGATTAGCCGCCACGACCATATTGCTTCGTCCCTGATGAGAATGATGCTGCTGAAAATCATCACCAATACGACCAGTGTCACAGAACCAACAATGGTCCTAGAAGTTTTATCTCCAGCCGTCCACCAATCGATCGAGAATGCCGCAAAGAAGAAGGCCATACTAATATATTGATGTCAGGGCCTCTGCCTATTACGTTAGGGTGCAGACTTACCCCCACATCAGCAATGCCTTTGGGAGGCTATAAATTATAGCCAGTTTTTCCAGTCCGTGTTTTCTGTTGTGAAGTCTTCCTAAAAATTCTGCCTGAACAAACTGCTATAAGAAATGTTTCAGTAAGACGGTTGAATATACTGACCGCTTCTGTGACTGTACTTTGTCCAGAAATTCGATCATGTGCGACAAAGAACAGGCCGACGGCTATGCTCCCCAAGCTCGTCACCAAGGACATGTAGCTTGCCATTTGAATGGCATCTCTACCGCCTCTATCAACAGTGTTGATGGCGAGAAACCCGACGTTGGCGTTGAGTAAGACAGTGGCCTGGCTCGACGATGATCACATGAAAGTTGATAACAACGAAAATCTGGTCTTACTAAGAGGTTAGAGTCCTGGAGCTGCCCTTTTAATTTTAAGCAGAATTCTCTCCACTGTGCTTCATAAATAACCTCGTCCACAAAAATCTTGTGCAGTTCTTGAACTTGAGCCACAGGGTCAAGGAACAGAAGGGGTGCGAGAATGATCATCAACGGTGATGGTTTATATGACCAACCATGGACCGATTGTCCAAGTATCACTCTCACGCAATCTTCCCCGTGATAATTCACAAAGCAATTAGAAACTTTAAAATGACCGTGAATTACAGTTAGATGTATAAACGAGAGAGCACTGACTGAACGTATACATGATGCGGCCTTAAATCAACATCAGTGTGATGGAATAGATCGAACTCAGGCTCAAGGCTCACCAATGACAATAGCAGTGTGACCTCGTCGCATACTCTGGTGTACAGGGGGAGTCTGAGTAGTATGGACTTTGAAAAAACGGGATTAGCGTATGGCGCCCGTAAGGAGGTATCAAAGTAGCATACCCTTGATTTTGTCAACCGCAGAAAGATGATCCTTGAGTTCAATGGCGTCAAACGCCGCACAAGACTTCGGCGATGTTAAGTGGTCTACTCATTGCGACCGTATGCATCAGATCAAATTATCAGATCAAGGAGAGTACTGACCACATGTCGCATGTACCAACATATCTTTGAGCTCATCGACAATGTCTTGTGTAACCGGACACAAGGTAGGAAAGTAATCCCAATGTTTCCTACATTGTATGTCAATTTACTTGCATATGGCCTAGAAGTTCATTAGGAATGGGACGGCGAGGTAAATATGCTGTGCGAACCTTTACCGGAACACACACCAGTATTGTGCTTCAACGGCAAGCCCTGGTTATCAAAAGAAGGACAAGCCGTCAGATCCGGATCCCCTTAGAACTATTAGCTACCCACATATATGTGAGAGGTTGTTAATGCCTTTACATTCTGAGATGATATCTTCGGGGTTAAAGTCATCTAGCCAAAAGAGGCATCTGTCGCGGTGATTGGCAAAATAATAGCAACAGATGACAGAGTCGCCACCAAAGGTCTTGGGCTCAACCACAAGGTCCACCTGCCCCATGTCGAGTGAGAGGTTCCCGTCCTCGATGGCCTGCTGGAGTTCGTTCAGCAGATAGTGCATGAAATATTCGATGTCATCGCATATATCTGGTTCACAAACATTCATATCTGTGAATGTTCTCTGCGCATTATAGCTCCAAATCAGATGTCAGTCGTCAATAATTCATTAATTTGATGCACCGTTTCTTGGTTCACAAAGTAACGGGCACCCTCTGGGTGCACAAACGCAGTCCATTCTTCGGGCACATCCATGCTTGAAAGAGTTGAAGTGCGGCGACTGAAGGTCATAAAATGACTTACCTATGCGCAGCCAATGTCAAAGCAGGGATGGTAAAGTCGGTGACCTTGTACTCTCTTTAGAAAGTCAGCTCTTGGGTAAACGCAAGAAGGCAGACTAATGTTTACCGGAAACGGCACCTGCCATACCTCCTGATATCATCTGGAACCATAGAGCTTAGCTGCGGGCCATCATATACTATGACAACCTCTGAGGCCGGTACCTGCTCATTGTTGCCGGGGGGAGCAGTGTAATGCACATGATGATCTAAACATTGACCTGGTATTACTATCGGTATAGCCTGGGCAGACGAATCCAATGGAACAGAACCCATATTCGCGGATTCATCCGTGATACTATATGCGCTCCTTCGGTGAGGTTTGATTTGTCCTGTGTGTTTTCGATATGCAGTTTTACCAGTGCGGACTTTCGAAGCATCGTTCAGGTATCCTCGTGGTCGTTCATGTGTTGTGGATATTCCATGGAGGCCAGGAAGGCGTGAAGGACCTGGACCGCTGGGCTCCTCCAATGCCCCGTCCTTGGGGGGTATCTCTCCTTTCACAGAACTCTCCTCCATATGTAGAGACATGTGTAAACTTGATACAGAGCCTTGATAGTGCCCATCCGTCTGACTGGCACTGACTCCGTATCCTATCGTTGTTTGATTGGCGTCCGACGGAGGGATGGCTGTACTGTTTCGTAAAGGTCGTGGATGTCGTGAATGGGATCTTGTGTAAGGATCGTCTGAGGGCAATGGAGGCTCCTCTCCAGCTTCCCGCTCCATTTGACCAGGCGGCAGAAGACTCAGGCAAATGGGTGAATCCTCTCCTTTGATAACCTCTTGAGATCGCGGGAGCACCCCGCTTCGAAAACGAGTGCTCCGATCACCGAGCTTCAAATGACCTGGTACAAAGCGATACAGTGAAGACAAGACAACAAAGAACAAACCAGTAGGGCGACGTGCAAGTCGTGAAAGCCATTTCTTCAATATGTTGAAAATGTGGGTGAGATGGCCTTTGATCATGGCGAGCTATTGTACAGTAGTACAGGCAGGGGAGTTACGCTGAGTATGGTGGACGATAGGTTACGGTTCGATTTGCCGATTTGCCGCAACTTATTTTGAAGTCCGATCAATGTTTGTTCTAGTCTTTTGAACTATTTGTCAGTACACCTTTGGTACACCTCAAATATTCCCGTCACAAGAGGTCACAAACGGCCGTGTAATTACATGGACATAGTTTGACTGCTCTAAGATTTGATTACGGACCGACCCTGGCCTGACTCAGTCTTAGAGACGATAGACGAATTCATGCCTTTACAATATATTGTTCAAATGGCACCCTTGGCAGCACTTTCTAGTGCTTCCCACGGTCTGTCAGACCTGGTTTCCTTGTAGGACACAACATGTCTCTGAGACATCCCCATCAGGAAATTGACCTGAAACTGTTATGACCAGATGTATATGACAAACAAAACACATTATTGTATGTCTAGCTTTACATCTGAATATTCTTATCATTGTATCACACAAATATGAAATAAGATATGATTTTATAAGGGAGATATAATTCTGATGCGTGTATTATAAGCTGTCAGCAGTATGATTCAACCATTATAATTGGCTGGCATTGAAACACATTCAGCTGTGAAATTATATGATATTATCATGGTGTCACACATATATGAAATAAGATATGATTTTATAAGGGCGATATAATTCTGATGTGTGTGTTATAAGCTGTCAGCAGTATGATTTAACCAGTATAATTGGCTGGCATCAAAACACATTCAGCTGTGAAATTATATCATTTTATCATGTTGTCACACACATATGAAATAAGATATGATTTTACGAGGGAGATATAATTCTGATGTGCATATTATAAGCTGTCAGCAGTATGATTCAACCATTATAATTGGCTGGCATTGAAACACATTCAGCTGTGAAATTATATGATTTTACGAGGGGGATATGATTCTGATGTGTATATTATAAGCTGTCAGCAGTATGATCCAACCATTATAATTGGCTGGCATTGAAACACATTCAGCTGTGAAATTATATGATTTTACGAGGGAGATATAATTCTGATACATGTATCATTATATAAGGTGATGGCACTGTGATAATGGAACATTTCTTGACTGGCCTTCAAAACACATTACTATGTTTAACTTTAAGATCAGATGATATTATCACAAGTGAGATACTATCTAACATATTTAAGCGCGGACAACAGCTCGGTATCAATTGTGTTCAGCCCATCAAGCACTACTGTGACCATTGTATGAAAGCTCCAGTGAAAATTGCCTTGAATTCATTGTACATACACCTTTAATTCACACAATAAGTACTCGTACATTTTACAGGTCTTCCAGCCCTGATCATAAGCAGATCTTTGAAATGTCATCAAATAACAATGTCCGCCTTATTCAAAATACCTTCTATTGCTTTCATTTCTATATTTTCGATCATCAGCAACGCTCTATATACCACAAGGAAGGAACTCACGCATGGCCAAATGGAGACTGTGGAAGCGCGATAGAGCCAAATTACCTGTTCATCAAGATAAAACTGATGCGCCCATAACAAGAACGACGCAAAATTCCATTTGCGAACCACAAACCATCATGCCTGCAGTACCTCCACACTCCTGCAGATTGCCCTTCTTCATCTAAACCCCAGACCCTGGTGGTTTTTGATGTGATTTCATTTCCGCAAACTTCAGGCATGAAGTCATGGGGATCGCCATAACTGTAAGCAACTATGAGTCCTGCTTGTCAAAGTGAAATATGATTATACCCCGTAGCAAATACTGTGATATCTGCCTGTAGCTCGGTGCCATCAGCAAATTGAAGGCCATTTTCTGTGAAAAACTCAATTGCGGAAACTGTTCTCGATTTGAATATCCCTGTCGATAATAGATGTACTCGCTCCGGTGTCTGGAAGCTGTTGAGAGACATCTTCGTTATGTATCAGAGGTACACCCACCGATGTGGTAGCCACCGCTGTGCTCCAGGTAAAGGGACATACTACCTACTCCATGTATGCCAAGATTGGTTTCAAAGCCAACCTTAAGCCAATCCATCTAGAATCGCCCTGTGACTGTGATTAATGTATCTGGAAGTGAGCCTTCGAATCGTCCAACATACTTGTCTGCAGTCTCAGCAACCATAAAAACCATATGTTAATGCAGCCGCCTAACAACTGCCCAAGGTAGCGAGGTATTGTAAGTACCAGCCAGCTCAGTGGGGAAGTCGTCATTATAGACCGCTAGGCAAGGAAAGTCAAGTCAAGCTACCGACAACCACAGGAACAATTACCGCCTAGCATTGCTGCCACTGACACCGTCGAGATCACGAATGTCGACGATCATTGATACCTAGTATTCCGTGAGATATGAAAATGATATAACTTGAACCAAAGAACACACATTGTGATGTTGACACCGTGACTACAGAAATCTTGAGCAATGTCGTGTGCTGATGAAATATTTAGACCTCGTTCGATACAAAAGATACGACAAACCAACCAGAAATGCAACAGCCGACTACGATTGCTTTTTCTTACCAATATGATTAGCTGCAGAATTGAACTCTGACAAGTGCACGGCAGACCCTTTGAAGCTTGCCTGCGTCCATGAGTCACGTTTTGATGAGTTCGAGCATTACATACCTTCCCAGGGATGTCGGGAACTTCCAGGCGACTGCCAGATCCAGTGGCAAATAAGGAAAGAGAAGTCCCAGAGGTTAATCCTCTGGGACAAGAAGCATGTGTATCGTATCGTGCATATCGTATCGTTCAACAACCCTTGCTGTAGACACTAATGCAAGGTTGATGATTGGCACAGCAGGAAGTTTCAAAACCTGTCATTCTGCCATGGTCTCTGTCCTAGGCGCTTCCAGCTCGTCTCCACTCTCTATCCTGTCAGCCACGCAGCTCATTGCCAAAAGAGTCTTCTTCCAGGATAACCAAGTGAAAGGGCACCGCCGGTTTGGAAGAGAGGACGAGCTTAGTAAGACGCTTGATGAAGTAAACTGCTTGTACTGGGGTGGATCCTTGGTTGGGATGGCATATATGTTTGTTGATGAGATGCTGAAAACTGGTAAAGTGAGCCAGGATGTTGTGGATCTTATACCACATCTTCGTGTTGTTCGTGCTGTGCTGGCTATCCCCGATGGTCTTGATGGCAGCCTCGATGCTATCTATCTTGTAGAGGAGAAGATCCACGGCAGATTCATCAAGTATATCAATAACAATTCCACTGTTGCTGCTGACAGCCTTCACGGCCGAGAAGTAGTCATTGGACTATTCCTATGCTTCGTACAGCATGTCCAATATCAGCTTACCAATTCAATGGTCATGCCGAGTCGCTGACAGCATGCTTTCAACAGCGCAGCATCACAAGAGCAAATGGTGGGTCATTCGATTTCGATGACGTCGACGAAGTGTAGATACCGTAACCAAACCTGACATGTGTCAAGATACCATGATTGATTAGTTAAAGGATGACATACTGGCCCTGGCCAGTCTTCTGGCCAAAGATATTCAGGTTGGAAGACATTTTGAGAACGTAGCATGTCTGTAGAGTGCACGCTGAAGCGCTGATGTGTGATTGTGACAGGACCGTAACATGGTGAAAGTAAATTATAGGTATACATTAATAAATTTCACAGTACTGAAACAAACATCGATCGGAATTCAAAAATAAGTCGCGGCAAATCGGCAAATCGAACCGTAACCTATCGTCCACCATAGCTGAGTGACTCAGAGTAGTTTCAGAGCTAGCCAAGGTACCAAATATGGCTCCACGACACACTCAACGGCAGTATCGGAGAAGGGCCCGGCCCGATCGATCGTTGAAGTAGTAATTGGAAGACTTTCCATAGGATTTAGAAACTCCAGGTTCAACTGGCTCGAGTCGCTGACACGATCTGTTAGGTTGGGCTGGACTGAGCGTTAGCTCGGGATGGGACGCAAGCAGATGGAGCCGCTCGGGGGCGGGATCTACATGTTGTACTAAGGACAGAGCGACTGACCTCCTATGGTGCTCCACTTGGACTCAGGCGTGCACTCCACCTGACCTCATTTTCTCACACATTGTCATACTTTCGTTCTATGTTGTAAGGAACCAACTCGTGTTGACACCATGTGGCATGTGTAATCTCCGCTCGGATCGGCCGCAGCCCCCAGACTTCGCCCAGACTACTCCGTGCCAAGACTGGCCAAATCTCTGACATTCACGGTCCCATCATTCTCCTGTAAAATGTCGAGGCCCATTCAAATTACCACGCCCCTGCGAGAGTTTAAAAGCCATGAAGAAGCCGTAAGGGCAGTCGCAGTTTTCCCCGATCAACGACGGATGGTTACAGCCTCGGAGGACATGACACTTCATCTATGGGACTTGAAGACAGGTGTTGTGTTGAAGAAGAGGTGGCATCACAATGGGGTGGGGAGATTGGCGGTATCACGAGATGGGCAATTGATAGCAAGCGGTGATGAGGGAGGAGAGGTCATGGTCTGGCACGGAGAAACTAGCGAATTGCTCACTCAACCCATCAACGCTCACTCCGAATCTATCTTCTCACTGGATTTTATTCCGGATGGCACAGTGCTGGCCACTGGTTCATGGGACGGAATGACGAAGCTGTGGGACACCGAAACCTGGCAGCAGCAAGGAGATCCAATTAGGTGCGATAACGCTGTCAACTGCATACGATATTCACCGTCTGGTCAACTTCTTGCCATTGCAACCAGAAACAATGTCGAGATTTATAATCCTAGCTCGAGAGAATGTGTCGCATCCTTCAAGGCTCATACATCATGGAACTCATCACTCGCGTGGACGCCAGATGGCACACGCCTTCTCACAAGCGGCGGCAATGCTGATCCTACCGTACGTGAGTGGGATGCATTGTCCTGGCAGCAGGTCGGTATTCCTTGGACCGGTCACACTAGCTATATCCATGCCATTGCTGTTAATCCTGCTGGCACACTTGTCGCATCCGCATCCGATGACAATTATGTCCGTCTTTGGCGGCTCTCAGATCGACGAACGATTGCTACCTTCAACCATAAATCCCCGGCAGCATGCGTCACTTTCTCCATAGATGGCAAGCATATCCTCAGCGGAGGTTGTGACAACATGATCTCAGAGTGGGTACCTCGGGGTATTCATCCAAAGGCATGTTTTCGTCCCTGACTCATATACCACAAATTGAGCATGTTTCGTGCAGATCCTAACCATCATGACAGCTCGCATTGCATGCTTAGATGGGGATTTGTCTACCGCCGAAAAACTTCTCACGCAAGATATCAACACCGATGCTTACAACCACACTTCCTACGCCCATCGCTCATTCGTTTTGTCCCGACAACACGACTGTGACCACGCCCTTCAGGATGCAATCAGGGTGAGCTATACCCGTTGAATGGTCCCCATACAAAAGTCTAATCGATGGTGACAGTCCATCAGCATCCAGCCCTCGTTGATAGGTTATATCTCCAAGGGCATCGCCCTCTGCGGAACAGGTCACATCCAGGGTGCGAGAGCAGCATTTGATATTGCATCCACGTACACGCACCAAGATTCAGAAACCATTCATTTCCTGCTCTTGATCAAGGTATGTTGCAGTTGCTTCGCATACTATCTACCTCATTCCGTGTTTTAGGCCATCGCCCTCTTCAGTGCGGATCAACATGAGGAAGCAAACCTGCTCCTCAAAGAACTCACTACCGGTTGTCCGAATACCGATACTCGCGCATGTCTTGTAGTGCAAGTAAGTATCATGCAACTATGCTAGGTCATCAAGTACCTAATCGCACATCAGGCATATCTACGCGTTCAACTCGGAACCAAAGCCTTGAATGACACACGTTACAATGAAGCCGCCGACCATTTCACTGCCGCTATCAACTTCGATGCTTTCTCATCAAAATCAGACATTCATGAAATATACGAGGACTTGGTCGTGGTGCGTTAAGATGATGCATACCTAATGTTTTTTATAATCGAGTGTTTTGTCCAGCTCTTCGGCTGGAATCTCAAATCCTTGTGGCTCACTGCACACCAGAAATGTTGTCATGCACTCCTCCGGGCAGGTAAACTTCAAGATGCTGTGAAATCATACCAACACATGATGTTTTCGAGTGACAAATATACAAAGGCTGACTGCCTTGACTGGTCCAACGGCAAGTCTGGTGTCCTAATGTCGCGCAGGCTACATTTCTCACCCGCACTTCACTCAGCTTTCACGGAAGAATGTGGCACGTTGTGTTCTACCAACGGAGATGCCGCCCTCGCTGCGAGCAAGTACGACAAGGCTATTGACCTATATTCGGCAGCGATCGACCTAGATTCTGCATCCGATGTCATCTTTGCAAAGCGTAGCAAAGCAAAGTTAAGTAGAATGCTATGGGAGGATGCGCTTCTCGACGCGCTAAAGGTGCGATGGCGTCTATGTTTTCTAGCCCACGTTGACTTAGGCCATGCATAGGTCATAGAACTCAATTCTTCGTCTCCTATTGGATACCAGTTGACACATGCAGCGCTGCATGGCGCACAACGTTATGACGAAGCCATCGAAGCTTTCAAAATCATGTTGTCCAAGTTGGACAATTCTTCCGAAGCAGAGATACGAGGTGGGTCATGGAATACCCTGCATGATCTTGAAATTCCTGTCTCATTCTGCAGATCTGCGTCAGCAGTATGTCTGTCCGTCTGAGGTAGAAGAAGCCATTCAAAGAGCTATTTGGATTGAACTCGAATACACCCCACTACGTCTACTTAATACCTCCACGGGTCTTTTGTGCGATCGAGCGGCACAAATAAATGCCTTCAAAACGAGTCCAGAGTACAAGGGATTCCTTTCATCCACAACGAAGCATTCAGACCTCAGAACGGAATGCATCAAAGACGTAGTCGCGACGTACTTCCGCTGCATCCTGCTATCACACAGGTGGGACGAGACGGAAGCGCTGCTGCACGACATCCAGGATAAAGATGTTCGCGAGTTGAATGGACTTGGCGGCATCGTGAAGTTGCAGTCTTTTTGCAAAGTCGCTCGTGATGCTGGGTATTACTGGGCATGGATGGACACGTGCTGCATCGACAAGAAGAGCAATACCGAGCTCCAAGAATCGATCAACTCCATGTTCATTTGGTACCACCACTCAGCGCTCACCATCGTGTACCTTTCGGACGTCCCGCCTTCATCCAAGTCTGGCGCTCTGGCGAAGAGTGAGTGGAATAGACGAGGATGGACCTTTCAAGAATTCCTCGCTTCCAAAGTCATTCTCTTCTATCAGAAGGATTGGTCTTTATATCTCAACGATCGCTCCTCAAACCACAAAGAGTCTCCTGCAATCATGAAGGAGTTGACGGATGCGACGGGCATAGATGCACGGGCCCTGACCTACTTCTGTCCAGGGATGAGCGACGCCCGACAGAGACTTCAATGGGCGTCAATGCGTGTTACAACGCGTCAGGAAGACATCGCCTACTCATTGTTCGGCATCTTCAAAGTTCGTCTGCCTGTAGATTATGGTGAAAATAAGGAATTCGCGCTCGGGCGTCTCCTGCAGGACATTGTGGCACAGTCAGGCGACATTACTGCCCTCAATTGGGTCGGACAATCATCCGAATTCAATAGCTGTCTTCCAGCCGATATTAGCTCTTATAACACTCCTCCACACACCCTTCCATCATTATCCGAAGATCAGATTCAGACAGCTATCTCTTCGCTGCGAAAAAATCCCGTGGTTGAAGGTTTAGCCTCGACACTTTACGACCGGCTCGATGACACGAGTGCTGCTCGTTTCGCTAACCGCAGGCTGCATTTGCCATGTATTACCTTCCGTGTCACAGACATCAGTCTGAGCTACGGTCTATCCCAGGAGACTCGATATGAAGTCAAGGCAGATGGACTTCATGACCTGCTGATCACCACCCAAGAGCCTATTGTTCAGTTCTCGCGTACAAGGCCCACTCAGCAAACCTTCGTGCTTGTCCGTCCCTGGGATCGGTATCATCTCCTTGAGCTACCTGACGTTGCAAACGTGCCCGAAGTTGGAGATGATACGGAGAGTGAGGAAGATTATTGGACGCCGCCTTCTTCTCCGTCAGACGAATCACCTAGCCGTTCTCTGGAGATGGTTGATTTGGCATCACCAGAATTGCGGTTGCTTGTTCGCCTTGGGCGGCCTTTTAGCGCATTTTTGCTCGCGCGGCAGCGCGGCAGAGAATACAAGAGGGTCGCGTCGGATCGTGACATCATTGCACAGGTCAAAGATGTGGCTTCTGTTCGAGACTTAATGGACATCAGGACGATAGAAATACTGTAGATACATAATATTTTCCCAAAAAGATCAGGGATCTGAACGATTTTATTAGCACCTCGAATATATACTAACAAGCATGCTGTATTACTAGACTACCTCCCTCTCTCTCTTTCAATGTAGACCATGGAACTTATCTGCACCACCTCTCCCTTCGATACCCCTAGACAGATACCCTAAAAACTTTAAACTTCAACTTCCCGTACTATCCTTGAATGGAGAAATTTGAACTTGAACATCCTGTATTTGACAAACATTTGGGGCTTTGACGGCGTTCACATGAACGTTGCTCGATGACAAATCAATCAACCCATAATACTATATGCCGGGTGCCAGTGGCCGCCAATATGCTCAAATCTTGAAAGTGCTCGCAACTAGTGCAGTTAGTTGGTTTAGACCCGGGGGATACCGCACCAGGTAAATTAAGCGACAGTTACAATATGGCAGAAATCCCTGAAGGAGCGGGTTCGTCGAGGCACTCAGAATTCCGGACGACGTGCCGTGCAGTCTTTACTGTCAGCTTTATCAAGACTCGACGTCGCTTTACTAGAACAACTCTGGCATTTCAACAGTACAAACGGTACAAATCACGTCAAACGGCAAACTCGGAAATATTTATGTTTATATACACGGCAAGGCAAGTGCACATGCGCGTGGTGTTTAGTTCTTGCAGCTGCAGCTACCAGCCTGACAGTTGCAGCTGTTGATAGACAGTCAGAATCAGGTCGTTGAAATGCCTCGAGGTAAAACTCACTTGGCGACGCCGCAGTTGCATTGCTCGGTGTTGTTGTTGTACATGGTGGTTATGGTGGTGAGTGCGGTTAAGCTGCAGGAGGGTGTCAGTCGCGTCATGGTCAGGGAGCTCAGGGCAGACAGCTCACCTTGTATGTGAGGCAGTTGATGATTAGCAGATTGCTGGAGGAAAAGCCAGCTGAAGAGGGGCCATTTTATATTGCTGACTATCAGCGGCGCCGCAAGTCGGAGTGACCAAAATGGCCAGATGATAAGCAGATAGTGCATTCGTTTCCGTCAATCCCAGGATTGTCAACACCATCATGATACGATTACAGGGCCCCAGGGCGCCGGGAGGTAACTAAAAGAGTCAGTTTTGCTCCAGTCCGACAAGATAATCTGAATAGCTGTGGCACGTGCATGCCACCATCCAGGGTTATCAATGCTGCAGGGCACCACTGAAGTGAGAGATCAACTTCTACTCCAAATACGATAAGATAGAAGTATACCGGCCGGAAACAGCTGCACCAGAATACGGCGACGGAGCCCTTGTACAGGTTACTTACTTGACCAATGTGCTGGCCCATTGTAATCTTGATTTCAAGGCACGAAACACGTGTGTGGGTGAGCTTCAATGGAGTGAAGTTGACTTCTAAGCTCAGGTACCTAAGTACCTGGATGGCTCGAATGCAATACAAAAGTAAGTGATAAAAGCAGCAATATTAATCACAAACTGTCTGACAATACATACTTACACCGTAACAGCGCGAGCCCGCACCTCGTCTGATCACGTGCAGCGATTCCTGTGGACAAGTCACGAGATCGCGACCAGCATGTGCAAACCTATTAAAGCCGTCTCATGAGATCTCCCTCATCAATTTCGCTCATGTCGTTCATTCTGTACCACTGCGCAGCCCTCTGTGGTATAAGCTACTGTTTCTCTAATCAATAGATTGTCGCTCACCTGTCGACGAGAACTTTGTCCTGACAGCTTCCGCATTCTCCTGAATTTCTCCACCCTTCTTTGTATTGGCACCAGCTTAGTATACTTTATTGCCTCCCACCCATTGAGAAATTCCCTGACAAGTCCCTTGGCACTGATATATTGGTCACTTGGTCTTTGCATGTGCCATGTCACACTTCTAGCCCGACGCCGGGCCGCTGGCCAGACACCAAAACACACCATACTCCGATTACTTTTGCAGGTGACCTGTTTTCTGGGGTGCTCAGTGTTCAGACACTAAATAATTAGACTGCCTTGTTGCGAACATGTGGGGTCAAGTGGTACAAAAGCACACAGTAGTTATAACCCGATGTCTGAAACTCACTTATACGGAAGCAAGTCACCAAGTGCTAGGTGCGGTATTGCGGATGACAGAGCGCATCATAGTATATGGGGTAATCAGATACGCCATGGGTAATCGGTGGTGGACACACGAGTTGTACAGCATACTGAAAGCAATGTAAGATAACGGATGTATGAAATGAAATGTGGTGGCGGCGTATGCCCAGGCTGGGAGGAACTGGAAGTTGCAGGACGTTCTGGTGGCAATTTCTGCATTTGGCTTGAAGTTGAAGCTGCTGACGCTGTGGCGGCACTCATTCGTTTTCCCCCAAGCAGTCTCGTGAACCTTGGCTGGCTGCAGTCAGGATTTCCCACAATGTGTTCTTTGATTCGTGCCATTCAGTACAATCATTGTCCCATCTCGAGGTAACAAAAGAGCGCCGGCGACAGTGATAAGGTCATCCTTGCGCTTGTATGATAGCAAGCCATCGAATGTCTTCGTTTTGATGTCTTCCTCGATGCGCGAGAGTCGAATTCATGAGCTAGTCAATCCTTGATAGCTTCCTCTTCAGAGAGCTGCAGGAGCTGCTGTGAGTTGGGAAAATCCCTGCGAGACACCTTGTTCCTGTCTTTAAAAGTCCGCCGCGCGACCTGTACTATAAAATTACCATTGCAGGGACTCGAAAAATGCGCAATCATACCTTGTGTACCCTTGTAGCTACTGAATATTCTTGCAGGTGACATTCGATTGCAACCTGGATCCTGGGCTCGTAGTTGGAGTCGGTAGACGCCCTATGTCACATGAGCCCAGCTCACTACTCAATGTTGCTTTGACATTGAATGCTGTAGACAAATTCACGAGATAGTGGACCCTTGCCACGAATAGAGATGGTAACAAGGGACGGTAGCCTCCATCAGAAATCCGACCGGCGGAGCGAACGAGGCAAGAACAATATTGAATATTGAACGTTGAACAGTCGGAATTAGTCATCCAAATTGCTTCCGAGTCTATGTTTACCGAGTACTGTACGGTCTACCTCCGAGTCAGTACTACTATGTAGTAGACATCGTGATGGGTCCGACCAAATTTGATCATGAAGTCATTGTCACTCCGGCTCACTCGAAGTTTCTGCAGATGGCCGAGTCTCCTATTAAGTTCCTGTTCTCTTCGATGGTGAAGTTTGTAATACTAATAACTTCAAGGACTTTCTCATCGTACTACCGTCCGTGTTATCAGTGGACAATTGGTAATTCACTAGCACGAGATGGCCACGTTCGTACTAGAAACCGCATGATTCATTCATTCATGACGCCTACCTTAAGCTGCCTGTATCACCAACGACTGGAACTTTACTGAATCCTCGTGGGAGGTTTTCCCTGATGGAAATTAAACTATCATACTTTTGAATTATCTAGGCTTCCTTTTGTTTGATTTTGCACCGCAATGCGTTCTTCGCCCGATCATCGGAGGTCTAGATGTCGATCATGCAGATTTTGGCGATATCATTAGGTGATGAACAGTGATATATCTAGCACGAATGCCATCGTTATACACCACCAACATTCCCCACTGGTTCACTCACCCATCCCTCGAATATGCCTGTGGTCTTAAATGATCCAATTTATTGGCCATTAATCGATTCGAATATTTTTTTGAGCTATTGGATAGGTTCGTCGCATCAAGATATCTAGTTCTAATTGACTTGCGGTTTTGTAGTTGCCGCTGCTGCTGTCGTAGTATACGATTGGGGTGAGCAGGACAGTGTTCGAAATTCGAAAATTGCTGATATTCTCATGGTATTTTCAGTACTAACAATTGACCAAGAGGTAGGTCAATGTTATCGCTGGAGCAGCCAACTCGCTAAGAATGGCATCACAGATTGAACTGATCTGGGTGAGTGATACGAGTCTGTATCAGAAGAAAAACAGGAGAACACGATAAATTCGTGACAGAAGCAACGCTGGTCCTTCATGACTGTGCTGTATTTGGTTGTTCGTACCTTGTTGTGCTATAGCATAGTTGGCAAGTTGTGCTGACTTCAAGATGTTCTAGATACGATATATTGGAATGCCGTTTTCTCTGTACGTGTCGAGGCCAACATATTACCACCGTGCTAATAGTTCATCCCTCACAATCAGTATGAATTTTCTGCGTATGTGTCATATGCACTGTGTTTGATTCTTCTGACCGGCGGCACACAGGAATCATGCCATTAGTCTCGCTGACAGATACAGTAAGTATTCCGCAACCATCTCATCCCCATTTAATGAATACACTCATGTAGGGGTGAGTGAGATGCCAACCATTGAACTTGGCTCAACATAATAAGTTAATAGGTGTAAGTCGGAGTATTTGATCCTAGTATGAGGGTATTCGCTAATTGGGTGTCCCAGGCAATATTATGACCAATACACTGAATTGGATAAGTGTGGCCGTAGCTGCCATGTTGGGCGGTGAGTTACCCAGCTAAAATACCTCAACGGTATCGACTCAATCAAAACATGATGCAAGCCATCATGACTATTCGGTTGTATGCCATGTATGAGAGATCAAGAATTATGCTTATGTTCCTTGTTATTGTTTTCTTGGCTGTCAACATTGCCTGCGGAGTAATCACGGCAATTGGACTCAAGAATGACCCAGCAGGTAGGCTTTACTTGTTGACTTGAAGAACACATCTAATTGGGATAAACACCAGTGGAAGTGATACTCTCTGGTACACATGTGTGCGAACCTGTTGGGACCGACCAGCTCCTCGTTTCAATAGTTTGGATACTCAACAGTGTTTGGGAGTTCCTTGCACTGTGTCTTGCACTCTGGATTGCTGTGAAACAGTTCCGTGGCCTGCGACGACTCGACTTATCGACAGGATCGACCATTGGGGACTGTTTCAGAGTGCTGATACAATCTCACGTGCTTTATTTTGCAAGGTGAGCTTGTAATGTGAATGTGGCTATCATTTCTGCTCAAGTTCCGCACATGTTAGCTTCGCTGGTGTCTCCTGCCTCCAGCTTATCAGTGATCTCTCTCCAGCAATATTGGTGCGCCTAACTGTCACTGACATCTACGTGTAATCACTGCTCATCATTTCTGTAGAATTCAGATTCTATCGGAGTTCGGGTACTCATTGGGATTCTTCAAATTATATCGGTCATACAGATGTTTGTGCTGGGACCACGCCTCATCCTTAGCGTTCGACAACTTAACGCCAAACTCGTGGTCGACTCCGCTGCAGAAACTTTTAGCATGAATTCGATTGTCTTCCAGAAGCATGTACATGTGTCAACTAGCAGTACCATCTAGGGACGTACTTACTGAGTGGTCTGCAGGGAGAAGACGTTTTGTGGAGGATCCGTCGTGGTATTTATTTAACGTATGGTGTTTATTTAACATATGGCGTTTCGAAGTATGTCTATATTTCTTGTTGCATCACTACTAAAACCAAGTAACTACCCACCCACGCTTACGCCAAGTGGTAAGCTGAGAACGTCTAGCAACCAATTCGGTCTTTGATGCTCGATACACGAGTGGTACAGCATACTGAAAGCAATGTAAGATAACGGATATATGAAATGAAATGTGGTGGCGTATGCCCAGGCTGTGGCGGCACTCATTCGTTTGCCCCCAAGCAGTCTCGCAAACCTTGGCTGGTTGCAGTCAGGATTTCCTGCAAGATGTGTTCTTTGATTCGTGCATTCAGTTCAATCACCATCTCGAGGTAGCAAAGAGCGCCGGTAATAGTGATAAGGTCGTCCTTGCGCTTGTATGATGATAGCAAGCCATCAAATGTCTTCGTTTTGATGTCTTCCTCGATGTGCGAGAGTCGAATCTATGGGCTAGCCAATCCTTGACAGCTTCCTCTTCAGAGAGCTGCGGGAGCTACTGTGAGCTGGGAAAATTCCTGCGAGACACATGCAGACCCTTTTTCCGGTCTTTAAAAGTCCGCCGCGCGACCTGTACTATGAAATTATTACCATTGCAGGAACTCGCAATCATACCTTGTGTACCCTTGCAGCTACTGAATATTCTTGCAGGTGACATTCGACTGCAGCCTGGATCCTGGATCCATAGTTAAGTCGGTAGACATCAGGGAAAACCTCCTTCACGAAATCAAGGTAATTCCAGGTAATTCCATGGAATTCCACTGAAATAAAAGTAAACGAGATTATTCAACTGCGGTCGGAATACCTTAGAATTACTTTAAATTTTCCATCATGTTCCATTGATTATCTTGAATTCAGTCAACGTCAAGATACACAAATATCAATTACATTGTACTAATTCAACAAAAATGCCGCCATCGAAAGACGTCAAAAAGATCAGCGCACCACTATGTACAAACGACTCATCACATATAACTTCAGAAGTAGTGATGTGCCGGCCCGGCTATGGCCTGGCCTGGGGCGGCTTGGGCTTTCGAAAATGCCAGGCCGAGCCATGAGCAAACGTAGGTATTCATGTGGATTATCTTTTCCATCGGAGGCCAATTTTCGACATGGCCAGCGACAATGCGGGGGGTGTGAGGAAACTTTGCGGCGAATTTGCGAAATATTCTCGACTGTGTTGGAGCGAATGGTAGAGCGGACAGGTATAAATGGGGAGTGCTGCGTAAAATGGTGGGTGCGAAGGTGCGGATGAAACGCAGGGTATCCCTGATAGCGTCACTAACATGCGTAAACTCGACATGACCCTACAACCACCCCACTACTCGTAAGAATTTGTTGGGAAAAGAATGAGCTTGAGCTACGCACCAAAAACCAATCTGCAACACATGAGAGGGTCACTGCCGAGCCACCGAGGCTTCTCATCAGAGCCAGTGCTTCCAGCCACCAAAGAAGGCGCTCTCCATCGAAGAAAGCCTCAACTTCCTTAGCGAGCGGTGATTATGTGACATGAGCCCAGCGCGCTACTCAATGTTACTTTGACATTGAGTGCTGTAGACAAAATCACGAGATAGTGGACCATAGCCACGAATAGAGATGGTAACAAGGGACGCCGGTGGCCTCCGAATCAGAAATCCGACCGGCGGAGCGAACGAGGCAAGAACACAGTCATCCAAATTGCTTCCGAGTCTATGTTTGCCAAGTACCAGTGTCACTACGGTCTACCTTCGAGTCAGTACTATGTAGTAGACATCATGATGGGTCTTTGATCATGAAATCATTGTCACTCGGAATTTTCTGCAGATGGACGAGTTTCCTATTAAGTCTCTGTTCTCTTGAGTCGATGGCGAAGTTTCCAATACTAATGACTTCAAGGACTTTCCCATCGTACTACCGTCCGTGCTATCAGTGGACGATTGGTAATTCACTAGCATGAGATGGCCATGTTCGTAGAAACCAACCACATGATTCATTCATGACGCCCACCTTAATTAAGTTGCCGATATCACCAACGACTGGGTGTTCAAGCCTAGTAACACGTGACTTGTTTGGAAATTCCACAATATTAAACGTTAAACCATCATACTTTGCATTATCTAGGCTTCTTTTTGTTTGATTTTGCACCGCAATGCATTCGCCCGATCATCAGAGGGTCTTGAGGTGGGATTAGATGTCCATCTTGCAGATTTCATTACTACGAGCGCTGATCATGAGGCAATGAACCTACTAGTGGTATATCTAGCACGAACGCCATCGTTATACACCATCAACATTCCCCACTGGCTCACATACCCATCCCTCGAATATGCCTGTGGTCGTAAATGATCCCATCTATTGGCCATTAATCGATTCAAATATTTTTTTGAGCTATTGGATAGGTTCGTCGCATCAAGATATCTAGTTCTAATTGACTTGCGGTTTTGTAGTTGCCGCTGCTGCTGTCGTAGTATATGATTGGGGTGAGCAGGACAGTGTTCGAAATTCGAAAATTGCTGATATTCTCATGGTATTTTCAGTATTAACGGTTGGCCAAGAGGTAGGTCGATGTTACTATTGTTGGTGCAGCCAACTCACTAAAGATGGTATCACAGATTGAACTGATCTGGGTGAGTGACAAAAGTCCTATATCAGAAGAAAACACAATGAATTCGCAACAGAGGCAACATTGGTCTCTCATGACTGTGCTGTATTTAGTTGTTAGTACCTCTTGTTGTGCTATAGCGGCATGGTCGGCAAGTTGTGTTGACCCCAAAATGTTCTAGATACGATATATTGGAATGCCGTTTTCTGTGTACGTGTCGAAGCCAATAGATCAGCACCATGCTAATAGTTCATCTCTCAATTAGTATTAATTTTCTGCGTATGTGTCATACTATGCGCTTGTTCGATTCTCCTGACCGGCGGCACACAGGAATCATGCCATTGGTCTCTCTGACAGATGCAGTAAGTATTCCGCAACAATCTCATCCCCATTCAATGAACACGCTCTGTGATATGTAGGGGTGAGTGAGATGCCAACCTTTGAACCTGGTTCAACATAATAAGTCAATAGGTGTAAGTCGAAGTGTTTGATTCCAGTACGAGGGTGTTCACTAATTGGGTGTTTCAGGCAATATAATATACAATATACTGAATTGGACGAGTGTGGCCGTAGCTGCCATGCTGGGTGGTGAGTTACCCAGCTGCAATACCTCAGTGGTATCGACTCGACTGAAACATGATGCAAGTCATCATCATTGCTCGGTTGCATGCCATGTATCAAAAATCTAGAAGCATGCTTATCTTCCTTGTTACTATTTTCTTGGCTGTCAACATTGCCTGCGGAGTAATCACGGCAATTGGACTCGAGCATAGCCCAGCGGGTAAGCTTTACTTGTTGACTTGAAGAAGAACACAGCTCATTGGATAAACACCAGAGGAGTTGATACTATCTGGTACACATATGTGCGATGCTTTTGGGACCCAGCAGCTTCTCGTTTCAATGGTTTGGATGCTCAACAGTGTTTGGGAGTTCCTTGCACTGTGTCTTGCAGTCTGGATTGCTGTGAAACAATTCCGTGACCTGCGACGACTCAACTCATCGACAGAATCGATCATTGGGGACTGTTTCAGAGTGCTGATACAATCTCACGTGCTTTATTTTGCGAGGTGAGCTTCTAATGTGAATGTGGCTATCTTTTCTGCTCAAGTTCCGCACATGTTAGCTTCGTTGGTGTCTCCTGCCTCCAGCTTATCAGTGATCTCTCTCCAGCAATATTGGTGCGCCTAACTGTCACTGACATCTACGTGTAATCACTGCTCATCATTTCTGTAGAATTCAGATTCTATCGGAGTTCGGGTACTCGTTGGGATTCTTCAAATTATATCGGTCATACAGATGTTTGTGCTGGGACCACGCCTCATCCTTAGCGTTCGACAATTTAACGCCAAACTCGTGGTTGACTCCGATGCAGACACTAGCATGAATTCAATTGTCTTCCAGGAGCGTGTACATGTATCAACTAGCAGTACCATATAGGAACATACTTGCTGCAGGGAGAAGACGTTTTGTGGAGGATCCGTCGTGGTATTTATTTAACGTATGGTGTTTCGAAGTATGTCTATATATTTCTTGTTGTATCACTACTACAACCAAGTAACTACTCACCCATGCTTACACCAAGTGGTAAGCCGAGAACGTCTAGCAACCAATTCGGTCTTTGATGCTCGATATTGAAATACAAATACAACGAGAATCGGTGCAACCACCCAAACATCAACCAAAATATTATGTTGGGGCCCCTGCTAAGCACGACCATCGGAGTAAAGCGCCGAACGTTCAGATATCCATGCATACACCGATCACAACCGTTTCTAGGGCAAGCAAATGATCACTTGAATGAAGCGTACCGCGATGTCTCGACGACCAATAAGAAACAAAAACCTGTGGGTGCCGGTGACCAGCGAGTTATTGATATATCGCATGAATCAACACAGGATAATCTTGAGGAATGAGCGGTGATAATCAAGATTCTGAAAGTCACATAGATTTCATTAGCATTCCAAGCTTTTTATTTATCTAGATCGAGTGAGGCGAAGTGACCATCAGTGAAATACGATGTTCTGCACAGATCTGTCAAATGTACAGTGCCCATATGGTGTCACAGCTTGGTCCCTTCTGTATGATAGTGCAGTGATGCACAGAGCCCCGCCGGGGCCCCAGTGGAGCGCCACGGGGGACTCGGCTGAGTCAGCTCACACCTGATCGAATGGCTTCTCTTTGCCACCTGTGAAAATTTCTGTTTCTCCTCCCTGAGCAGGCATCGTGGTGGGTTTTTGAAGTCACGACGTTTTCTGTTGACAACCGACCATTCAGTTTCTGTTATCTTCGATGGTGAAGTTTCCAATACTATTAGTTATACAGACTCGTTTCTGTCGAGACACGTACTAACTTACTTCAAGGACTTTCCCATCGTACTGCCGTCCGTCCTACCAGTGGACTACTATTAGTAATTCGCTAGCACGAGATGGCCAAGGTTGGCCTGATATAAATACCACGGATTATCGAGAATGTCGAGTGACGTAGCTATCTCTCAAGGAGGCTATCAGAAGTACTGGTCATGAGTCTACTTACCATTGTCGTGCAAGGCTGGATCCCTAATTCTCAGCTTCGGACCGTCACTGGGCGTAGTTGATAGTATATAATCTGTTCGGCTCAGGTCATTCATGGGTCATGGGACATCGAGGTCGAAGCTGATTCGGCCCGACTATAACGACGCATGCCTTCAATATAAGAGACGTGGTGATATACGACTCTATCAACATCCACCTTCATTCAACACCAGTCATGTCTGGAGTAGAGATGTAAGTTGACCACGCACCAGGACATAGATATCATGATATCTCACTCGCAACGTTATCCAGTCATTCCGTCCCGCGTCCTACTGGGGCACCCACCCCGGCAAAACTTAACAAGATATCTTGTCAGTTGACACAAGACAAGGTATTGACTACTCGCCCCTCTTGCTTCCATTTGCTGACGTTCGCTGCGCTTGAAGTCTCGGGGAGGTGCCCAGGCTATGTGTAAGTCCTTGCCCCGAAAGATATCCTTCGTGCGATTGATAAAGGTGTAATATAGTATATGCCGTCGGTCTGACAGAGGAAGACATGGAAAAGCCTCAAGTATATTCATGACCACTTGTAGTTTTCACATTTCCTCAACTATTCACTAGATCGGTATTTCACCTATCTGGTGGGAAGGTAACAATACCACTCCTGCATGCTTATGCTGATGCTGATGTGCGCTTTGCAGGTAATCCATGTAACTCTCATCTCGTGCGTTTTGCTCCCCATTTGCGAGCGTCCGGCAAACTGATACCGGTGTAGCTCGATTTGTCCAAAAAAGTCAAGGAGGGCTGCACGGAGGAAGGTTTAGTTGGCTTGACCTTCAATACCATTGGTGTTAGGTGTGCCTGTCCATCTTCTCAACGAGTATGTACTGAAGCTAGGTAGTGATGCTATTACAATGGGAACAGATGGTAAGGTGTCTTTGATAAATTTCCTTTGGCGTGTCTGATTGCATCTATTTAGGGATGCGGTACTCGTGCGTATCATGAAAGTCATTGGTATGATATCTTGTTGATGTAGCAATACCAGACTCCCAAGTCGTGATCTCATCGCGGACTCTGTTGAAGCTGTAAATGACCTCGCTGAGGCTTTAATTTCACGCTAATTTGGTTTTTGTTTATCAGGTCACACTTGTGAGAGGCTCCATCATTCGGTAGTCTCTGAATGCTCAAGTTATCTGATTTTTGTAAGGCGCAACATTACGATGGCAATATCTCGATACCAGGTTGCGACAAGAACATGCCTGGTGTCTTGATGGCTGCTGCTAGACACAACAGGCCGACCATTATCGTCTACGGTGGTACGATTCAGGTCGGGACGCGCCATGTCGACTGCCCTTCCATGGGGTACGAGAAAGGCGGGACTGTCAACATCTCAGACGCCTTCGAGTCTTATGGTGGGTGGTTATCCGACTCCAAATTCCCAAAGCCTTGAACTGGAGTCAGGTGCCTATGCTGTTGGCCTCATCAATGATGAGGAGCGATTCGATGTCGTCAGACATTCATGTCCTGGCGCTGGTGCCTGCGGTGGTATGTATACGTACGTGTTCTGTCGCTTTTAAGCAGAAACCTCCTCATATGTCCTAGGGCCAACACCATGAGCTCTGCTCTTGAAGTCTTGGGTATGTCTCTTCCCTACTCCTCGAGCACACCAGCAATGTACCCTGGTGAGTTAGAAAATACTTCTGTTGCATGTAAAATTTTGAATTCGTGTATCAGAGAAGGCACAGGAATGCTTCAAAGTCGCCAAGTATATGAAACGTCTTCTGGAGCTTGATTTGAAGCCCAGAGATATCCTCACCCGTCAATCTTTCCTGAATGCAATCACTATCGTCAACGTCCTTGGTGGCTCGACGAATGCTGTTCTTCACTTGTTGGCTATTGCCCGTGCCGCCGATGTTCCCTTAACCATCGACGACTTCCAGATGATTTCAGACAGGACTCCGTACCTTGCCGATTTGAAGTACTTTCGTATTCATGATTCGATTGCGTTCTCTCACAGTAAACATCGTCAGGCCATCTGGAAAGTATTATATGGAAGACATTCACAAAATTGGTGGCATACCAGCGATCATCAAATACCTTCTCAAGAACACCGATCTTATCGATGGTAGCCAGATGACTGTTACCGGAAAGACCCTCGCTGAAAACCTCGTGGATGTTCCGGAGCTCGACTTCGATAAGCAAGACGTCATCAAGAAGCTGGACGACCCCATTAAACCCTCTGGCCATTTGACTATTCTCAAAGGTAGCTTGGCTCCTGGAACCGCTGTCGCCAAGCTTACAGGGAAGGAGGGTTTGCGCTTTGAGGTGATTTATGGTTACTTGTTGATTCCGTGTCATGGCTAACGGATACTGTGGCGGTTTAGGGTGTCGCCAAATGCTTTGATAGGTACGGTGTAACGCAAAACCTTATGTTTAGCTTGCCTCATATACTTCATCTTTAAGTGTGCACGACTTTTATCCTGCACTTGAGCGCGGAGACATCAAGCATGGAATGGTCTTGATATTCAGATATCAAGGGCCGAAGGGCGGGCCAGGAATGCCAGAGGTTGGATGTTATCCTCGACATTAGTTCTTGCATGCTCACATATAACTGCAGATGCTGGGTACAGTTGTATCTTAAACGAGCCCTACAGTCCTCCTAATCCTTTTACGCACAGGTCCCACTGCCGCTCTTATGGGTGCTGGGCTGGGCAACTCGACTGCGCTGATCACGGATGGTCGTTTTTCTGGAGCATCCAGAGGTTTCATCATTGGTGCGTCTTTTACGCAACTTCACTTGAAGACAGGCTTACTTCCGATCTACCAGGTCACGTCGTCCCTGAGGCAACCCTTGGTGGTCCAATTGCTCTTGTGGAAGACGGCGATCTCATTGCCATCGACGCAAAGAGTAGGACCATCGACTGGCTAGTGGGCGAAGAAGAGAAAGTACGCCGAAGAAAAGCATGGGAAGTCTCAGGCAAGAGTGCCCTCAGGGAGCGGAGAGGTATCTTGTTCCGATACGCCCGTGATGTTGCTGTAAGAGCATTAGTTTGATGATCCAACCTCGCTTGCTGACCATGATTTACAGCCTGCCAACGAAGGAGCCTACTGCGACTGAGATGTCTTTTGCCACGGTATATGAGAGGGTAGCGAAACAATTGGGCAACTTGATCGATAAACTTTACGCGTCAAGTCAAACATGTCAAATTATTGTAAATACAGAAGTCGAATATTCCACATGATTCTGGGCCTCTATATTGGTACAATCAGGGGTCTGGATTTGAAGAGACAATGTTGTGATCACCCCACCGCACTACTGAACAAACGTACGATCCAAGCATACATAGCCTTGTAAGTCATAACCATAACGGCTGGACAAACTGTCATATACAGTCCAACTGAAGACATCCTGGTTGGGTATTTGATTGTTCTGAATGTGGTCCGTGAAATAAATGTGCCTAGATATGACAACGTCTCAAATCACCTGCACCGCAGCAGATAAGATGAGAACTATGTCGTACGCAGCACGCCGAGTTGCAGCCAGTTGTAGAGTTGAAGTTGGTGATATGATGTGGGCGGGACGCAGGCAAGATTTGCCATGGTCAGTGGGATAGGCGGGCAGAAATAGGTGCACTTATGTTCAAGTGCAGACTTTGCGACAGTAAGGACTAGATCTTGAAGCCTCGAAGAACCATTAGCCGAGTTGTCGCCGTGGCTCAGATCTTGAAAGACTGCAATACAGCACAGCAAGTTAACTGCTGTCGGTTAATTTGCAGAACGAGGGGTTGTCCATCTCATCTAGCTCCGTCGAATGCAAAAACAGCGAGGTCAAGCAAACAGCTTGAGTAGTTGGGCTGGGACCCAGCACAGCCCCGGGCCACTAGATGACCATGTCATGTATCAAGATAGATAACTGGATATCGCGTTCAACCATCGTGAACTGTGAATAGTGGGAGTGGAAGGCTGAGTAAGGAACGAATGTACGGTCCGGCCTCCGAGTCGCCGTCCGGATAAGAGTTGGACGTGTGCCGGCTCCTTCCGAGTCCGAGAACTCAAAGTCAGCCACGTGGTGTCGCCCGCGTGCGGCACAAAGCAAGCACAAAGGATCGTTACGCGTTATCTTCCATGCCTATTCGTTTGTCTAGTGATCATGTCACGGAATTCAACCCCGGAGAACTTTAAAAAGGGGATTGTATTGTGAATGAAAGTCGCAACGTTTTGCCTAGGCCCCAAGGGACGTAGATGTTCGCTACTGGTAAGTGCATAACTTCCAATGCCAAGGGTTAATAAGCACGCTCTGAATCTTTGCCTTTGACGCTCACCCATAATATAAGATGTCCATGAATTCCTTTGTAGTGGCGTAGCGGTACACCCGTCACCTTTCCTTTCCCAGCAGTCGTGGAAGAATTGCACATCCGATGCTAGAGTTCGTGGTCAATTAGAGAATTTGCTCCCATCGAGGACTAACTTACTGCTGAATCCCATCACCTCGCATTCACCCTCGTACTCGTCCTCGTCTGACTCTTCACCGCTCGCGTCAAATGCAAATGAGGAAGCAGCTGGCGGACGCCGTTTTGGATTCGACAGACAAGACCAGTTGCTTCTCCTGGTTAGTTTCTTATCTGTCTATGAAAGTTTAGTTACTCATTCCATTCGTCGAAGAGATTAGCTTGCCTCTATCTTGAGGATGCCCGGGTATTTACCCCTGTGCTTGATCCATAGTCTAGGATAGTACCTGGAGCTCTTGTCAAGGCTGATGGCCTTCTGACATCCGCGGCACCTGACGGATATAGGTCGTACATCCTCGGTATACTCGTCGTTCTCGAGCTGCGGAGGGCTCAGCATGTGTTGTGCGTCCTGTGTGTTGCAGCGGGGAGGTGAATGGCTGAGCCCATGAAACCCGCCCTTACAGACCGACGAGTGGTCATTGATGAGGCAACTGACCGTGAGCCAGTCGGTCCCAACTTCATAAACGAGAACGACCGGACATCCGGCCCTGCCGCGAATTAGCGTGTGGGTTTGGGCGGTCGTTTGTTTTATGGGGTTGAGTTGACTGGCGATGCAGTCATTGTCTGTTGATTGCACGGCGGCTGAGGGACTGGCAGTTGATTCTTGCATTTTTTTTGCTGGGGGAAGTGTCCTTCAGATGTAGATGAGGAATTTGTTGCAGTGGCGTGAAGTTTTTCTTTTCTTTTAAGGCCTACCTCGGAGTTATATTGTTCACCCTCAAATACACGTGGTTTTTTTCATTCCGATCTCTGTCCATTGAGGTAATGTACCCTGTGTCGGACAGTGCTAACTAGTTTAAAGGGTGCCTATGTAACACCTAGACTCGCGAATGCCCAAGCGTGAAGGTATCCCCCCGCCAATCCATCGAAGTTGGGTGACTGACCTCTCCTGTAAAGTACACATACTTTTCCAAGGCGAACATTCACACTCATAAAAGTCATTCATAGCAGGTTAATGTGCTCTGATGCTCGTCACTCTTCTAGATGAGTTGACGATTCCAAGGTTTTCCGAGCTGTGGAGTATATCTTCTCGTCGTGAAGGTGAACATCGTCCAACATGAACATCACAGAAGCACGCTGGCCACCGCCAGAACGCTCTTCAATTTTCCCACATGTTTGAAACTTCTTTAGGCCTACAATGGGGATGGTGAAGACACTTGATCATGAAAGTGCCTTTCTTGTGGGTAGTCAGTCCTGTTGTCATCTTTACATGCATAATGCCAGATTTCGCACATGTAGTTCCCGAACTGATGAGCAGGGCTTGAACTCAGGCATACGAGATGCAGCAGGTTCGATAACCATGCTTCCGTTCAAGTGACTCATTGATGCACAATTCAATCTGGAGTGGAAATCAGCCCTGGCCGCAAAACAGCATCTCAACCCCATCTTTTGCTGAAATTCTATGATGAAGAACGACTTCCAATCGTATAAAAGACACTCAACCTCATGGCCAATTTGAACAATAAACTTTTATGCGCTATCTCTATGATTGGTATTGACTGTTGTTACTTGCAGCTCGGCGGACACTATTGCCATGATCAATTTTCCTCTTACCTTTCATGAGCTCGTCAACACCCACGGCTTCAGCACCACCAACGCCCAACAAAATCTGCATCTGGAAATACCAAATGCTGAACATAGCAGTGGCTTTAATGGGGCATATGCATCGTGGGCACGATCTCTGCTATCGAGCTTGCTGCGTCTTTTTTTAAGTGAGATCCTGAAGGTTAACTGACCATGATCGTGATTGTGGTGATCACGGTTAACGAGCATTGGAGTGATTTTTTGGTTCAGAAAGATGATGGATACTGATGCGTGGTGTAGCGTTATACAGTGAAGCTTTTGATGGGCATGTTTGTGAGTTTTTACTTCAGTCGCTGTGTTTCTTTGGTCGATTGTTCATCGTTGCGATAGACATCGATCGTACGTCGCAGAACGAATCTCATCACTGATGCGTCACGGTGGTGTAGCGTTCGCACTGCACAGTGGGTACAGCACGGGTATACCCGCGGGTCGGAAGATCATCGATCAACGTTAACACTGTACCCGTACCCGTACTAACCCGCGGTATAGCAGCTTACCTGCGAGGTTGCATTTACCTGCGGGTCACCTACACAAACAAGAAATATTAGTAACACTACTATGAAGTCTAAGCAATATGATATCCAGAAAATTGGGCTCGGTGAATTGTGGTTCCTTGACTGGTTGATGGCATGTCTGTCTAGGTGGTTGAGGTGGAACTATATGTAACGTTGTAGGATCAAGCAGTCGGTTTTTTATGACATGGGGGACATGCACGTAATGGACAACGTCCTACTTATTTCGCACGATGTTGTAACTTTCCTCAAAGAAAAGAACTGTATATTTCCATACAATTGCTTCCGAGTTGGCTGGATCGACAGTGGGGTGGTGCATAGCGATATGATGGGGTGAGTTTTCACGTTATATATCCCTAGTACAACTTCATGGTTGCATGGTTCGATAATGGCATTGCTACAAAATTTGTCAAAAGTGCATTCCCAGCATGAACTGGCGCGCTGTCAGTAGTTCGCTGACCGACCCAGATACTCATAATAACCAGAGGATGATGAGCACAGCCTGATCTGGGTGTGTACGCACGTCACAGCTTAACAAGTCTGAATCTGATGGAAGGACAGGTGCCTGAGCCTCCTTGATATGAGTATTGTGCCGTGTAACATCACTGCGGGCAATGAATCCTATTAGTGAAATCAGACGATAATTATTACAGTCGCTTTAGGCACCAAGAAATACTTGGGTGAGATAGACCTCAGAAATGCGCGAGTCGCCTATATGTCTCCCTCAACAACCTGATCCGTGGGCGGGAATGAGTTGCAGAACGGAACTTCTGCTTTCCATTCAAACCGATGTTCCGTCATATTCCAGCGTACGTTCGTGTCGTGTCCGCGATGTCCACATTGCCTGTACATAGTGTAGTTCGGTCTGTTCAAAATTTCAGAATTTGCGAGGGGGTAGCAACACGACAAACATCTTCACCGTTTATAATTCTGACATTCGCACATACTAGATGTCATGCTGTGCCGCGTGTATAATTCAAGACCTGATATCGACGACCATGCTATTATTGCTAGACGGATATGGGTACACTGTGCTGGTTGAGTTCCTTGTCTCCTTGCATGATGGCTGGATCCGGGGGTATAATGTATGGTTCCATCTCATTGGTCTCTTTGGGAGGATTCCGATTTTTCGATTTGCGGCGTTTAAGTAGAAACCAAATGAGGCCGACAATCCATGCGATGGCCAGCACACCTCCACATACGCTGCCAGCAATTATTGGTGTCAGAGCCTTGTTTCTAGGTACGGTGTGAACTAAACACTTGAATGTTTGTCGAAGGGCCAAAGGACACGTACCCATTAAGGGAAGCAGCTTCAGAGGAGTTCTCTGCGCGAGCTGCTTGAATTTTCGTTGCAAAGCCATGTTTCTCCCACTGCATTTCTCTCTCGACTTATGTTGAGCGGTAGGACAGATCGAGTAGCCTTCAAGTTATGTTTGAATTAGTCCTCGTACTCTCTGCTAAGGAGTAATTCTTCAAAGTCGGAGGATGTGGAAGTGAAGAATATATGTGCCTGATTCACGAGCAATTCTCAAGGGAATGGAGACCAAAGGTTGGGGTACGTATCCCAGCGTATCCCCAAGTCCGAGTCTGCCTTATCATGTAGTCTGTCCATGTTATGTAAGCCCGCCGCATGGTGTTACAATCATCCCGCTTATGAACATCCATCCCGCCCGCCAGCTGTCAGGATGATCCGAGTCGCTCACGCTTGCCTGACTTGTCTACTACTCCTTCCATGTTGGCATATTTCCTACCCGCCCGCCAATACCACCATAATTTTGTTGTCTGCAGCCATCAGTCTACGGCTGCCACGTCAGGTGAACCGAACAGCGACGGCAAGTTGAAAGGACGACGGGATTGGCGTGACAGCGGTTGGAACAGATGCAGCGGGACGCGTAACGGTGTCTCGCGTAGACAACAAGGTGCTTTAAGACAACAGACGGACCTTTGACCGACGCCCAGACCTTTCTGAGCAACCCAAATCGCCCAGACGTGTCCGCCAGACTTTTCATATGGAGTCTGCGCAGACTTCATACAGACTTTGTATAGACTGGTTATTTCATACATGTCCTCGGTTTGTTTTCCTCTTGGAATCATTTTACGTCCATTTCGAATGCCGTCGCTTCTTCTAATAAGTACCGCCCACCCATGTCGACCACTTGGCCCTCCGGCGTCTTTGGTCATCTTCAGTGAACTGTTAGCCAAGGAAGGGAACTTTGGTCTCCACCAGCGTCTTGCACCGGAGTGTCAACGGGTATCCAGTATGCACTGGATCGCAGTGCAGCAGTATTCCATGGCCATTTTTTTGGTCAGTCGCTGCCCATATTTGTGGCGCTCCGTCAATGTTCCTACTTGCGAGACGCTGCGTTATTAATTGACGCTCACAATATCGACATCGATCCTCAAGGCAAGTTTCAACATACCTCCCTACAGACTTTGGATGAGACTCGTCTGAGTTAGAGAATCTTATGGATGCCGGAGTTGTCGCGCGCGTCAGTTTCTGCATGCTCCCTTGCATCAATCGAATTGGCTACTGCAATTAGACCAATAGGACGGAGGCGTCAGTGGATACATCCAACCTGTAAGTCTTAGAGGAGCATATTTCGGGTGGGCGTATGGCGTGTTTGGCAGAACGGTCTGAAGCTGGTGCTTTTGTACAATGATACCGCATGCAGCTGGTTGATGTCGTTCTTTGACTATATGATACACGGTTCTTGCCGACCACAGCTAGATTGATGGCAAGATGCGGATTTGGCAAAACCAAGCTAGCCCATCGATCGCCCCTAAACACCCTTTCTCACTCGATTGTGACAAGCACAAATGTCACTTCCTGCCTTGGACCGCATGTTCATAACTTCAGTATGGTTACAGTGTATAATTTACGGTATGCATCCTTATTCAGCATATAAATTCAATGCTGATGTTCCGCTCGACAGGAGTCAAGTGAGTTGAAATGGAGAAAGGACCCTAAAGGCTTGCACTAAACTCATTTTCATCGATAGCTGCGTGCTATTTGGCGTATGCATGTATGCCATATTTATTAGGAACAAAAGGGCACATTGGTTCGTGCCATTACTTGTTCAATCATTTGCCGGCACTCAACGTTCAACTTTGGATCAGGATTGTTCCTTTTTCATGTATTTTCCACTTTTCAATGGCGACAGCGCACATCATCATCTCCTTTTTATATGCTCTGCACGGCCTCACAGATCCTGCTGTAATATCCGTCCCCAACGGAAGTACCTTGTACTTTGCCAGTGTTACAGCTTTGTGGTCGACAATGACAGGATTGTATCTTTTCAATGTGGGCATCATAATTCTATCGTGAATCGCACTTCATCATGTCTTCTTTCAGGTTCTTGTTCTGCATTTCCTGCTAGTGAGTAATAACTACTTGTGTGTGGTGTTGAACCTAACACTTGCGACAACAGATCTGGAGGTTTTATTTGGTCTGGAATCGTAACTTGATCCTTGCTATCATCCTGGTAAGATATCATTACTTGTCGCACTTTCGACGAGTGTTGAGATCGCTAGCTCATTCTGGAAGTTGGACACCTATGTGGGCCTGTTTACTTGATTTGGCTTGCAGATTAAGGGCTAACATCACTCCCCTACGTAGCAACTGCTTTAGCGGCCTGGTCTGTAGTCACTCATTCCCGTGTCACATTTGCATCGGCTGCCTGGGCTTTGGCGACGGCTGATTTCATATTCAACCTCGTTCTTACTATTTGTCTCACGTCCGGGATCGCCTATCGTCTTTGGCGTGCGGGAGCTGATACGTTTGATTTGACTGGTCATAACGCCTACAAACCTGCCATATACACCATCATCCAGTGCGGTGCAATCTATACCAGCAGCATCGTGGTAATATGCGTTCTACGCCTTTCCGGGAAACCAGCTGGTCTCGTGGCACCTTACGTCGGCATTCAGTTTGCCGTGAGCATTTCATGCTTCTTCTTCCTATATAGTCTCACATCCTTCTAGACCTTGACCCCTCTTCTTCTCATCGTCAGTCTTAAGTTTGGCGTGAGGCATGACGAGGCATAGATTGCGGAACACGCTTTTGCTCGGCCAGCCGAGGTCAATATCGCTGAGGAGACCCGTACCTGCTCTGACCACACCATGAATCCATGACCTACCCGGAAGAACCAGAGACTGCGTATGGTGGCAATGAAAAGGGACAGTATTTCATATGTTTTTCTTCTAATGAGACATCACCCATCTTCGTTCAACCAGTCCAGGCTAAAATCACCGAGGAGACCCGTGCTTACCCTGGTGACACCGTGGATCCATGGCCTACCCGGAGGAATCAGAGCCTGCATGCATGCATATGGTGGCAATGAAAAGGGGTATTAGCTAGGAGTATCTCATAAGTATTTCCCCGCTGTCTTCAACCTTTCTTGATTTGAGAATCGAGACCAAAGGTCTAGACCATGAAGTACGTGTTCCCAAGTCTGTCTTATTAGTTGGGTTGCTTCCTGGAAGTCTGTCAAGCCCACCGCATGGTGCTACTATCATCCCACTTACGGGCAACATCCATCCCGCCCGCCGCTGTCAGGATCTTTACCTCCAATCTGAGTTTCTCACGCTTGCCTGACTTGTCTACTACTCCCTCCATGTTGGCATATTTCCTACCTGCCCACCAATACCATCATGATTTTGTTGTCTGCAGCTCCCAGTCTACAGCTACCACGGCCTCCCCCCGGGAGGTGAACCGAACAGCGATGGCAAGCTGAAAGGACGGGATTGGCGTGACAACGGTTGGAACATATGCAGCAGGATACGTAACGGTATCTGACGTAGACAACAGGGTGCTTTAAGACAACAGACAGACCTTTGACCGACGCTCGGACCTTTCTGACCAGTATCACATTGTCATTTTTTTTGGACACGTCCAATCTGTAAAATCTTGGATGAACGTGTTGGGAGCATATTTCGGGTGGGCATAAGACGTCACGGTGTTTGGTAGGACGGTCTGGTGCTGGTGCTTTTGTACAGCGATACTGCATGCTGGTTGATTCTGTCGTCGCTCTTTGTCGCGGTTGACTCTATGATACACCACAGTTGATCGGATTTGGCCGACCAAGCTAACCTATCGATCGCCCCTAAAAACCCTTCTCACTCGATTGTGACAAGTAAAAATGTTACTTCCTGCCTTGGACCGCATGTTCATAACTTCAGTATGGTTACAGTGCATAATTTATGGTATGCATCCTTATTCAGCATATAAATTCAATGCTGATGTTCCGCTCGACAGGAGTCAAGTGAGTTGAAAGGGAGAAAGGACCCCGAAGGCTTGCACTAACTTACTCATTTTCATCGATAGCTGCGTGCTATTTGGCGTATGCATGTATGTCATATTTATTCGGAACAAAAGGGCACATTGGTTCGTGCCATTACTTGTTCAATCATTTGCTGGCACTTACCTTTGGATCAGGATTGTTCCTCTTTCATGCATTTTCCACTTTTCAATGGCGACAGCGCACATCATCGTTTCCTTTTTATATGCTCTGCAGGGCCTCACAAATCCTGCTGTAATATCCGTCCCCAACGGAAGCACCTTGTACTTTGCCAGTGTTACAGCCTTCTGGTCGACACTGACAGGATTGTACCTTTTCAATGTGGGCATCATAATTCTATCGTGAATCGCACTTCATCATGTCTTCTTTCAGGTTCTTGTTCTGCATTTCCTGCTAGTGAGTAACTACTTGTGTGTGGAGGTGTTGAACCTAACACTTGCGACAACAGATCTGGAGGTTTTATTTGGTTTGGAATCGTAACTTGGTCATTGCTATCATCCTGGTAAGATATCATTGCTTGTCGCACTTTCGACGAGTGTTGAGATCGCTAGCTCATTCTGGAAGTCGGACACCTCTGTGGGCCTGTTTACTTGAGTTGACTGGCAGATTAAGCACTAACATTACTCCCCTGCGTAGCAACTGCTTTAGCAGCCTGGGCTGTGGTCACTCATTCCCGTGACATCTTTGAATCGACTGCCTTGCACGTGGCGACGGCTCTTTTCATACTCAACCTCGTTCTCACTATTTTTCTTACGTCCGGGATTGCCTATCGTCTTTGGCGCGCGGGAGCTGATACGTTCGATTTGACTGGTCATAATGCCTACAAACCTGCCATATACACCATCATCCAGTGCGGTGCAATCTACACTAGCAGCATCGTGGTAATATGCGTTCTACGCCTTTCCGGGAAACCAGCTGGTCTCGTGGCACCTTACGTCGGCATTCAGTTTGCCGTCAGCATTTTATACTTCTTCCTCCTACATAGTCTCACATCCTTCTAGACTTTGACCCCTCTTCTTCTTATCGTCAGTCTTAAGTTTGGCGTGAGGCATGACGAGACATAGACGTTGCGGAACACGC